CCCTTGCCGGGCAGTGGTGGCACACGCCTTTAATCCCAGCACTTGGGAGGCAGAGGCAGGTGGATTTCTGAGTTCGAGAGTTCAAGGCTAGCCTGGTCTACAGAGTGAGTTCCAGGACAGCCAGGGCTACATAGAGAAACCCTGTCTCGAAAAACCAAAACCAAAAATAAAATAAAATAAGATAAAATAAAATCCCCAGAGGTCATATTTAAAAGCCTGGAGATCCGGTACAGTCTGCAATCCCAGCAACAGGGAAGCAGAAACAACCCTAGGCCTGATCCCTAGATTTGCTGACAGTCAGCCTATCCTAACTAGTAAGCTCTAGGCCCCGGCTCAAGAAACAAGGTATAGTGGGCCTGGTGACAGCACACACCTTTAACCCAAGCAAGGCAAGTGAATCTCTGAGTTTGAGTCCAGCCTGGTCTACATAATGAGTTCCAGGCCAGCCAAGGATACACAGTGAGATCCTGCCTCAAGAAAAGAAAAAAGAGAGGGGAGAAGGGAAAAAAAAGAACAAAAGAAAAAAGAAGGGTATACAGGTCCTGAGGAAACTGACCTCTGACCTCCACACATATGTACACACACACACACGAATGAGGTTATGTCATCCTTAAAAATAGATGATCCAGGACAGCCAAGGCTATACAGAGAAACCCTGTCTCGAAAAACAAAACAAAACAAAACAAAAAAAGATGAAACTGAAGACAATCGTGTTAAGCAAATTATGCCAGTCTCAGAAAGACAGACACTGTATGTTTTCTCCGACTGGTGGTTCCTATATTTTACATCATCACACTAAACTGTGTGTGTGTGTGTGTGTGTGTGTGTGTGGTGTATTTACACAAAGAGACCTAACAGGAAGGGAAGGAAGAAAAGAGCAGGTCGAGGAAATGGGAGGAATAGGAATACACTCAATTTATAATCTATATACTTTTAAGAAAAAATTGTCTTAATTTAATTTTAATGGCTCACCATTAAGAGCACTTGCTGAGGACTAGGATCGGTTCTCATCACCTACAGGGCAGCCCATAATTGTCTGTAACACCAATTCAATGTAATCTAGCGCCCTTTTCTGGCCTCTGTGAGTACTGCATGCACATGGCACCATATACCGGAAGACAAAAATACTCGTGCAAATAAAAAACAATCAAATAAACACTGTTTAATTCTTTTGACTATTCTGCAAGACGAGCAATAACTACTGTAAATGAGACTTGTCCCTCAATATCCAGAAGGAAGAAAATGAAAGAAAGAGGGAAGAAGAAAAAGTTTAAATGAGGGTTGAGATTTAGCTCAGTTGGTCGACGCTTGCTTAGCTTCATAAACTCCGGGATGTTATCCCCATATCAGTAAACCATGTGTGGGGTGCATTCTTGTCACTCCTGCACTTAGAAGGTGGAAGAAGGAGAATCCAAGGAGGTTAAGAGTTTCCTTGATCAACCTAGGGTACTTGAGAACCTGTCTGAAAAAAGAGGAGGAGGGGGGAGGGGAGGGGAGGTAAAAAGGGGGAGGGGAAAAGGGGGAGAAGGAGGGGGGAAGGAGGAGATAATCCCAGAATTCGGGAGGAAGGGGCGGGCAAATCCCTGTGAGTTCAAGGCCAGCCTGGTTGACATAGTGAGTTCCATGACAACCAGGGCTACACAGAGATACCCCAACTAAAAAAAGGCAAAACGGACAGACAGGCAAACAGACAGACAAAATTACGATATATTAAGTGTGCCTTAGCCAAAGCTAAGTGAAAATTAATATTAATTCTTCTTGCCATCCCACTCCACAGCTAGGACACAAAGCCCCCTACATTGGGGTTCAAGCGAGGTCCTGAAGCTCGAGAGGCACACTGTCCCTTTAACACAAAGCCTGGAGGGCTCCATAGCAACACGGAACCTAAGGCTCTGGGACTGCGGCGACCCACGGACCTTAGGTCCAACGGACCGGAACCGGAAGCTCTCCCCGGCGGTTCTGCTAAACCAGAACTGGCTGAGTTGCTCGCTGAGTTCTTTTTCTTCCGCAGCTGGTGCGGTGAGCGCTGGTTGCTGAGGGTTTCGGTCCCAACTGCTATCAGTAGTGATCCAGCCATCCGCACTCCTGCGCGGTCGGGGTTCCCTGGTGAGCTCATCCCTAGTATCTAAAAGTGGGAGACCGCTGGTCGCGGGAATGGCCGTAATCGCAAGCAGCGCAGCGGGACAGACTAACAAAAGCCTGCATGAGCATGCGCACACTCACTTTCGAGTCGGGGCGTGGTATTGATACTAGGGTCTCCCTCGTGTAGCTCAGGCTAGCCTCGAACTCGGGATCCTCCTTTGTGTTGGGATGACAGACATGTGCCACCACTTTGCAGCTTGAAATGGGTTGTTTGACGTTTCTGCTTTGGAGCTCCAAGTTGTATCCGACTCTGATTGCTCCATCCCTTTTTTCTCTTTTCTTTTAAAACCAAAGCTTCCACTGAAGAACGGAACCATGGAAGACAAACCACTGCTAGTATCTAAACAGAAGACAGAAGTGGTGTGCGGTGTGCCCACCCAGGTGGTCTGCACGGCCTTCAGCAGCCACATCCTGGTTGTGGTGACCCAATTCGGGAAGATGGGTACACTAGTCTCCTTGGAGCCCAGCAATGTGGCCAATGACATCAGCAAGCCAGTGCTCACCACAAAAGTCCTCCTCGGGCAGGACGAGGTAATAGAGTTGAGAGAATCTTTTTTTCTGGTGTCATTTGTCCATAGGGATTTGGGGTGTCTGGTAGGCACACCTCCACACGCACGTAAGGTATGCACAGTGAGCATTTTCTTTTCTTTCTTTCTTTTTCTTTCTTTTTCTTTTTTCTTTCTTTCTTTCTTTCTTTTTTTTTTTTTTAGGTTTTTCGAGACAGGGTTTCTCTGTGTAGCTCTGGCTGTCCTGGAACTCACTCTATAGACCAGGCTGGCCTCGAACTCAGAAATCCGCCTGCCTCTGCCTCCCAAGTGCTGGAATTAAAGCCGTGCGCCACCACTGCCCAGCCACAGTGAGCATTTTCCAGGATCTTTCTGGTCTGAGGTTGTCCTGGCTGGACCCTAGTCATGCTTTTCCCAGCCTGTCAGTATTTACTCAATACTCTGGGGAGGTATTGAATTTTATGACACAGCTATCTCCTCAGTTTGACCCTGTTGGCGATGGGTTTATGTTTATGTCTGCTTCTTGAGTCTTGACAGCAACCCCCTTTGCAGGCATGTCTGTCTCGATTAGGGGTGACCTGAGAAATGGTAGGCAGAAGCACCAAGGAAGAATCTTACTGTCATGAGCACTTCGCTGTGTCTGCTCTGTGCAGTCCACTTGGTGCTCTGAATCACTGTGCTCTCAGCTTAGAGAATTTAGGGGAAAGTGTGAGAAGCTGGCCTGGGTCCCTTAAGGAAAGCATCAGGAAGATACCGTGTTTGTCCCGGGTGTGGCGATACATACCTGTAATCCTCTCAGATGGGAGGCTGAAAAATTGCTGCAAGACTGAGCTGTATAGTGAGTTTGAGGCCAGCTAGAGATAGACCCTGCTCTCCCCCAAAAAGGAGGAGGAGGAGGAAGAGAAATTTAAAAGAAAAAAAAAAAAAAAACACTGGTTATGGTGACTCGCTGGTATAGTTCCAGCACTTGGGAGGTGGGACCAGGAGGATCAGGGTTCAGTGTCATTCCCAGATACATAAAGCTAACCTGGGCTACGTGACACCCTCTATTAAAGAGGCAGGGAGCATTGAGATGGCTCAGGGGCTAAAGGCATGCAAGCCTGACATTCTGAGTTCAGTGGACAGAGAGAATTGACTGCCACAAATTGTACTCTTGTTTATATACATACATGCATGCATACATACATATATATACATACATACATATATACATACATATACATACATATACATGCATGCATATACATATATATACATGCATACATATATACATACACATATACATACATATATATACATACATATACATACATATATACATACGCATATACATACACATATACATACATACATATATACATACATACATACATACATATACATACATACACACATAAATACATATATACATACATACATATTTTCTTTTTGAGTGGAGACTAATACAGCCATGCGCATACCTTTAATCTTGCACTTGGCACTACATAGCAAGCTCCAGAACAGACAGGGCTACCTAGCGAGCTCTTACCTCAACAACAATTAATAAATCAGTACATAGTGAACTCCTGTCTCAACAAAAACAAATGAGTGAATAAATAAAGCAGTGGAGACTGAGGAAGTAGCTCAGCTCATAGAGTGCTCACAAGCACAGCCTGAGGTCGATCCTCAGAACTCGCATGAAAAGGCTAGGTGTGGGGCTTGGCTTGGTGGTGCACGCCTTTAATCCCAACACTGGGGAGGCTGATTGGACCGGTCTGTGTGAGTTTGAGGCCAGCTTCATCTACATACCAGGTTCTAGCAAGGGCTACATAGAGAGACCCTTTCTCAAAAAACAAACAACATTAACAACAACAACAAAAAAAAAACCTGCAAATGTGGTACATTTCCAGAAGGCAGGAACCGAGGATCCTGGGGCTGGCTGGTCAGGCAGTGTCCCCTAATTCATGAGTTACCGGTCAATAAGAGATCCCATCCCAAAGTAGATGGCTGGTGTTCTGAGGATGATTCCTGAGGTTGACCCCAGGCCCAATCATACGCGCACATACTCACACTCTTTATAAAACAACAAACAAAACTGGATATGATAGTACATGTCTGGAATCCCAGCACTCAGGAGGCTGAGGCAGGAGGATTGCCACGAGTTCAAGGCCACCTGGGTTATATGAATTCCATGATACTACAGAAAATGACAACCTGTCTTAAAAAGAAAAACAGATGAGGTTTCCTGTAGTCATGGCCCTGTGTTCCTTTCCCTCCCTCCCCAGCCTCTCATCCATGTCTTTGCAAAGAACCTGGTAGCGTTTGTGTCGCAAGAAGCAGGAAACAGAGCCGTCCTCCTAGCCATGGCGGTGAAGGACAAGAGCATGGAAAGGCTGAAGGCCTTGAAGGAGGTGATCCGGCTGTGCCAGGTGTGGTGACCTGCAGTCGGCAGTGCCAGATGCTCAGAGGCATGGACGCTCGGTGAGCGGGCCTTTGAAACCCATCGTTCCAGCGTCAGGACGGAGCTCATTCTCTGCCTTTAGCTCTCAAAGCTGGAAACAACACTCAGGTCTCAGGGACTCTTCCTGCGTGACTGCTGTGTTCTGCCTAGAACACTGGACACGGTTCTGGACGGCAGCAGGTGCATCCACTGAGTGGACATCAGTGACCAGTTTTGGGGATTAGTAACCCTGGGTGTTCGGGAGCACTTGTGGGAAGATTTTTTTATTACTATTATTATTAAAAACAAATGTAAAATACTTGGCTGGCCTTGTCAGTGATCCTGAGACAATTTGGGCATCTGTCACAGGTTCACTTTGGGACACCTGAGGTGGCAGGGAAATCTCCTCAGCACATACACAATACGTGGTTGCTGGGTGTGAGGTGGATCCTAGGTGTGCATTCAGCCAGCATTGGATACTGTCCCTCCTGTGCTGGGAGCATGGGCCAGAGCCTCAAGTTACAGAATACAGTGAGGGACACTGGCTGTGCGGCAAGCAGAGCAAGGGTGACCATGAAAGTGGGTCCCCAAGGATGGGCTGGACGGAAGATCCAGGGATGAAGGTGGTGAGCAGAGGCCAGGGGGTGACCCTGAGCTTAGACAGGAGCAGGGGCTCTGACATCAGGCTGGCATTTGTGCCCAGAGTTGTCCTGCTGGTGCCCACCCCTGCTGGGTGGCATCCTGAGACCTGGGGTGTGCTGCCATAGGGAAGGGGTGGTCCCTGATCACAGCTGAGTGGGAATTTCTGAATCCAATAAAGAATCTGCTCTGACATTCTGATGGTCACCAGTGAAGGAGAGACCACAGAAAGGCCAGGTAGAGAAACTTCCTCTAGGTCCAGAGGTGAGCAGTAAGCTTGGGTGGCTGCTTTTCACTTAGAGTAAGTCAGGACTAGCTAGCCTTGTCTTGATCCTTGTGCAGGCCGATGCCTGCTGTGTCCCTGCCCCTGGGAAGCTTCTGACCTCTCCAGGGGTAAGTGGGGAGGGCTGTAGGCTGAAGCCAGCTCAGCTGGGTTGGGGGTGGGGACTGCAGAGCTCAGTCAGGATTGCCCTTTGGTCTCTTACTTCCCAATGCCCCATGGATTTCCCATCCAGCCCTTCCATCGGGACCCACCTGCATGGCTCTGATTACCAGATGTCCAGTGTCTGCCAGACTTGTGGAAGGTGTCACTGCCTAGAACAGGAGTGTCCCAGAGCTCTGACAGCCCAGTTCCTACTGCAGCTCCCAACCCCCATGTGTCTGCACCCGCATTCCTGATAGGTGCCTCTCTCGCACCACTGTGTGCTTTGTCCGCCCTTTCCCAGATCCTGGTTTCCCCTTTCCTTTATGTCCCCTGGGAAGGCTGGTGTTAACAGTCCAGCAGGTGCCCCTTCTGTAACCTCTTACCCATCATCCCAGTTGCCGTCAGCCTCTGGAGAGCATGGACCACCAGGAACCTCACAGGCCACTCAGATGAAGGAAAGGCCAGTGTTGGGTACACACAGTTGACAGATACAGCCAAGCAGGACATGCTCAGGGGAGCCCTGTGAGGTGGCTCTGTACAAAGGTCTGTGCTATCAGCCTGTGATTATTCAGATAAACAACCAGCCTGCAAGGCCCTGCTTCTCTATCTCAACAGATAGCACCCTGGGTGGAACTCAAGGCCAGGTCCAAGTTCAGGTTTGTGCCTTTGGTTTTCTAATTTGCTCCCTAAGCAGACAACAAAGCCAGATCACATGGTCACCCATTACATCCTGTTCAACAACCTGCTCCTGACACCTGTCCGTGCCTCAGGCCATGCAGCAGCTCCCAGGTGGAAGAGCGCAGATGGAGCACCTGGGCACCTGCCCCGTTTCTCCCAGCCACCAGGCCCTGTGACAGCTCAGCCATTGCTGCTAGCTCCATCAGTCAGTAAGGCTCAGGAATGCTACCTTTGCCTCCAGGCTTCTGGTCCTGTTTCAAACAGTTTCCTTTCCAGCCATCCCCTCGGGTCCACCTCAAAAAGCAGGTGGTGGGAACACCTGATCTTGGGGTCAGAGTGTGTTCCACATGATAAGTGACAGCTGGGCACATAATGGGACATTCTCTGGATTTGTGTGTAGGGCTAGAGGCTCCCTGCCCGGGAAGGGGTGCTGAGACTCACCTGTGATTGAACCTGCTCCCTCTCCAAGCCGGGCAGTATTTACAGCTGCTCCGAGCTGTCTGGTACCCATAAAACAGACCAATACCAGATGCTTTAATCATCTAAGCCCGTGCCCCTTGCCCAGATCTGCTGTGTAAATCAGACACGGCTCTACCAGAGAAGGCACTTGGTCAGGACTTCCTCTGCTGCCACCATAACTCAGAAGAGACCCATGTCACCCAGAAGAGAGTCACGATGCCAACAGTTTCTGGGTAGAAAGTACTTCTGTGGGTAGAGGGGCCACGTGGTCACACCCAGGGTAGATCTGTAAACTCCTAGCGCATGTGAAGCATGAACTTGGGTTACTGTCTACCTGTCACATGCCACAAGGCGGGCTGCCTCCCTGCCCCGTGACCAAGTGAGCAGCGCGCAGGCCAGGCCAGTGAACTGCTCTAGCTTGAGGTTGGGGACTGGCAAGTTTAAGGGACCCAGAGCTGGAGTAAAGGGCTTACCAAGCTTGAGGATTGGCGTTCAGATCTCCAGAACCCACATAAAAGCCAGGCAAATGAACCAGCTGCCTGAAACACTCACTCACGCTCGCGCACACACCACATACAAAAAGAATAAACAAACAAACAGCCCCAAGTGAGCAGCTGGAGCAGGGGTCAAAAGCGAGTGATGTCAGGAGCTTGCATGCTGCACAGGGTGACCGCAGGGGCATCACCACTATAGCTTACAGTTTGCCATCACGTCGGGCTTGTCTGTAGGGTCAAAACTGCTTGGGATAGCTGGAAGTGAGAGTAAACAGATTCTCCAAGGACCAGCAGATGAGAGAGTCCTGCTCAAGTGGGAGAAATCCTTAGATACAAGCCCAGGTCAGGCAGGTTGAAGAGAGCTGCCTACCCCCAGGAGCCCACTGCACAGTAGATGCCTTGCGTAAGGCTGCATGGAGCCCTGAGCCCATCCCCACCACAGACACCATGGCCTGGATCATGAGGACAGAGTGCCTCCATCATGGTGGGCCTGAACACAAAGGCACACGGATGAAGGATGACTGGGAGGAGCAGGGAGCTGGAGGGAGAGCTCCAAGGGAAAGACCTAGCAGGACCACCCAGAACATGAGAGACATCGGGCATACTGCAGAAGAAACAGGGCCCAGTTACAACTCCCCAAGACTGCACCAAAGATGTCGGACACATAAGACGGTGATGGTGATGATGGTGATAATGGTGATGTTGATGATGATGATGATTGTTGCTGTTGTTTTTACGTTTATTTACGTGTGGGGGCGTGCATGTCACATCGCATACATACGGAGAACAGTTAGGAAGTAATTTCTCTCTTACCATGTGGTTCCCATGGATCAAACTCCGGCCATCAGGCTTGGTGGCAAGCACCCTTTTATCCACTGAGCCATCTTGCCATCCCAATACGAAAGATTCTGATAGTGCCCTGACCCACTCACCTTCAAAGCTCTTCCATGCTCCTGTCCCTGGACAGCCATGGTAGGCACTTACTTAGCCTATGTCTCCAGTTGCCAGCCATCCTATGACAGGTATCAGTGACCTTGATCAGAGGTGAGAGGTGAGGTGGGCCCTCTACCTCCTTTGGGTGCTTCAGAGATGAAAGGAGAGTAAACCGTGTGGATAGATGGAAGACTAGAATCACCCCTACCCCTCAGTACACATGTGTCACCAGCGTCATGACCCTACCTGAGAACCCAGGTTGGATCTAGAGACCAGCTCCCGCCAGGCTCATGGTCACAAACCCATCTAGGCATCATAAGCTCTGGACTAGGTCTGAGGGCACCACGGACCAAGACAGGGATAGAAGGGCTGATCCCAGAATCCTGGATGAGAGAGGGTGTGGCCTGGTAAAGGGTGTGGCCCAACAAGGTTGTTGGGCAGGCAGGGCAGGCCAGGCAGGACTGGGAGGAGTTTCTGGGCCTCTGAGAAGCCATGCTTGGGCAGCAGCAATAGTGTCCAAGGGGCCTGGGCTGCCCCAGACGCTGAGAAGGAGCACGGCACAGGGCTGGACACCACACTGAGGCAGGACCTCCTCCAGCCCAGAAACCACAGAGTGTGCACTGGGAAACCAAGGCAACGCACCAGCCCAGTGGGCCCTGGCAGCCGCCCAGAGCCACCAGGGAGGTGAGCTGAGTGGGTGTGAGTGTGCTTGCTTGTGGGGCTGGCTCAGGAATAGAATGGTGTCCAAGCCGGGGCCCCATGACACCAACAGGGTGGGGTGAAGCTTGCTGCCAAGAACCAGCATCGTGCCCTTCCTCCCCATCTGGCCTTCTCCACCTGTGTCCAGACTCCCTACTTACACGAAGGGTCTCAGACACAGGGCAAGGCTTTGCCCATCTCTAAGTGAAGGGCCCCCAGGTTCACACCCAAATCTGGCATCTGGCTCTGGGGCAAAGTCAAGCATGGACAGGCCCAGACAGATTCTCCAAAGACTAAGAGGAAGGTCTGGAGAGGAAAGGTGGGCACAGGAAGGGGCACAGCTGGCAGAAGGGGTAGGAAGCAGTGTCCACACATCACCAGGATGGCCTACCATGGAGTCTAAGGCCATCAGACACAAGCAGACCGTAGTCCTCCCCATGGATGGAAGCCAGGGCTCCGCCTGTACTCCATCAGGCAGCTGAGCTGACTGGACTCAAGTCTTCACTAGCCTGGAAAGAAGGCTGATAGACATCTGAGATTAGCAACCTAAGTCCCCCCGCTGAGTGCCCAGACCCTCTGTAGAACCATCATTAGAGATTCCGATAGCCTGGGGAAACTGAGGCAAGGCTGGGTCGGGTCCAGCTTTCTGGGCCTTCCTCCCATTCTCCAGGCTGATCCCATCCAAAAGAGAGGCCACATCTGGCCACCAGGAGGCGCTACATATGCATTCTAGACTCTCAGGCTGGTATACTACTGGGAATCTCAGGGGCCAGGAAGAGCAGGCAGAGGGAAGGGTGGCTATATGGTTTCCCAACATGGAAGTCCACCATTCTGGACTCATCACCCAGGCTTTCTGGAACCTATAAAGATAGAAGGGGGCAGAGAGAGACACCCATGACCTCTCGACCTACCTGAGCACCTTGACCCACAAGGAGCTAGTGCTTAGCTTCCGTCTCCACCCTGCCACGCCTCCGGTGTGGGTGCTACTTGAATC